CTGTACCATCTAAACAAAAATTGAAAATATTTAGTACCATCGCTACAAAGTACTAGTACCACCACCACTCTTGAACAAAGCTCAGATCGTATAAATTTACAAGTGTTAGAGAAAAAACTCAATCAGGATGTTGGGTTTTTAATTTTTGAAATAAATAGTTAAAAATACTTTGCTTCTTTGTGTACCACCTATTTTTTTCTTGTGTACCACTGGTTGAGAACCTTTGCTCTAGACTGCCCAAGTATGTGACAAAATGAGACATAAACAACATAAAGCTAACTTTTATTAGTAAAACGTAAATGTCACTTATCTTCTTTCAAATATGTCCAACATATTGAATGTCTCACTGTCTTATATCTTATGTAAAATAGCGTGACTATTCATAAATCCCAGGGCAAATTCAATTAGAAATAGAATGCCTGATTAGTGCTGCCCTCTAGGAGGTATTAGAACAAACAAAAAATAAAAACTCAAAAAGTAAACATTTAGAAAGCGTTTTAAACGTTTAAAAGTGTAAAATATTTAATGCTACTTGATAAACTGCATGAAGTTTATTTTATTCTCAAACTTATTAATAATTATGTTAATTCATGTTTAGTAATAATGCATACTACTTAGGGATCTATTTAATTTTAGGATGGTATTACAAAAGTGAAATTCAGGCAGAGAATAATATTTTTAATTGAATTTATTCATTTCCCATTTGCTCATAGGGTCCTTAATTTTTTTCATTAATGGTCCTTAAAAGTACTTAATTTCCGTGTGCAGAAATATGTATGAACCCTGTGTACAGGAAATATACTGTCCTACTCTGCATTCTCAGTTCATATAAAATTCATTGTATTGTTTGTATATTAAGAAACATTAATATACAAGTAGTACAATGAATATTATATGAAGACTATATGATAATAAAGCAATCTATCATCAAATAAAATCATCAAAGAAAAAAATTATTAATACACATGTCATGCAAGAAAAACCGCAGAAATGAATTAATTAATGACTGTCTTGGAAGTATTAATCTGTCCTACTTTGCGCAAGCAGTATTGGAATAATTCTTCAAATTAAGTATTGCTTGTCAGCTGTACAGTAGTTAAAGATATTGGACAATGATTTTCTTTATGCAAGCGGTAATGAAAATAACAAATTAACAGTACACATGCAAAGCAATAAATACTGCAGAATAGATTTAATTAATGTCTATGAGCAAAATATTAAAAAGTCCTACTCTGCGGAGGCAATAGTGAAAATAACTAACATAAATACTACACTTGCAATACAATCAATACCGCATAAAGGATAAACTTATATCTGTATGAGAAAATTAAATGGTCCTACCGAAGGGATGCTAAGATATTTCTTGAAGTTATCCAAAACAGATGCGATTTGACAGGCACTTAATAGCACTTATAGATGCCGTGTGATTCATCTCAGTATCGTTGTTTGTCACTTGTTTGCAAATATTCAATATTAATAGAAATAATAAATAAATACAAATCTGAAAGGTTTCAGATTTTAAATTATGTCCAAAGGTGCGTTTTTTTCAACGTTTTGTGTGTTACCTTTATTTATTAAATACCACGTTCTTTGCACATAAACCATACAATTCAGTTCAATAGCAATGTCGCAAAATAATTTTAAAATTAGCATATCTTTAGGATTTCCAATACACACTTCCGCGCGTGCTGGAGATAAAAAGATCCCCCCCCCGTAGAGTGTTGCCATTGCTCGCTTTTAAATAGTTGAGTTTGTTACTCAAAAATTCATTAAAGTTTTACAAAATATGAAATTGTTGTGTCGTTTGGCCTACTCAGTTGACACTAACACTTAAATTTTTCTAACAACAGTTATATATATTAATCCCAATAAGCCAAAACATTTACTTAGCATTGCGTTGTGTAATCGGATTAACCCTTAATTCATTTTTTTGGTGACCTGGTGAAATGACATGAGTAAATAAAAAAAAAAATACACTTAAATATTTTAATGAAAACAAATTTGTTTATTGGAAAAAAAACATCCTTCAATTTAAAATATCATATGATAGAATCAATATAAAAAAAAATAAAATAGATATTATAGTTATTAAAGATATTCCCGGGATATATAAAAAAAATATTCAACATAAGATAATCTCTAATTTGTAAAAATTCATCCTTAATACAAAAAGGCTTTACTTTTTTTTATAGACTTATCTCTCAATATTGCACATAAAAAAAATTAATGCCGTTATTAATTCTATTAAGTGTAACATGTTTCTAGACTTTTGCTTAACAGGTTTTCTATAGAAAAATTTTCAAAATTTTTCAGATATAATTGAATTTACACCCTTATTGCACACACATAAAATCAGTTTTCCAAAAGGAGAGCAACCTTAACAAAAATTTCCAGGAGGAATTATATTCCACAGAATTTATACTAGAGTAATGACTTAATTGTACAGACTATTAGCACTAATTTAGGTTTCAGAGAACACTCCTTTACTGCAGAACTACAAGATATAACTTTTCACATTCTGAACCTTAACTATTAACTTTAGCTGAATAATTCAGTTTACTTTTACGGTTCTTCAAATAATAATAATAGTGACAATAAAACAAGGTAATTTCTTTAAGAATGAGCTTTTAGAACTTTGTAATATTTTTTTTTCAGATAACTCTAATAATAAAGATAATGATAACGAACCAAATTCATTTTACTTCTCTCTCTTTTTTTTTTTTTTTTTTTAAGGAAAACTACTGGGATATTATTAACATCAATAATTCCAAACAAAAGAAAAATTCACTTTATGCATAACTCATTTTTTTTTTCTAATTTAATTGGAAGAGCAATCTTTTTTTTTTTTTTTTAACAATTAACCTCACTCTCACCTATAACAACTCCGCGAGATCTTGCAGATTTTAAGATTAAGAAATATCTGAATTTAATGAAATAACAAGAAAAATTTAATATCACCCAACTGAGGTTCCAAGACCGAGGTCTCCTGGCAGGAACATGTAACAGCTAATTCAGGCCAGTGGATACCGCTGACTGTCCATGAGGATTCAGAACGGAAGAGAGGCAATTTAAAACTGGTAATCTGGTTGCATAAATTTCATAACTGAAGTTTCCATTGAAGAGAACTGGATCAGGCGAATGCAAGTTGACTGTCCATCAGGATTTAAAACGGAAGAGAGGCAATTTAAAAAACTGGTAATCTGGTTCCATAAATTTCATAACTGAGGTTTCCATTGAAGAGAACTGGATCAGGCGAATGCAAGTTGACTGTCCATCAGGATTCAGAACGGAAGAGAGGCAATTTAAAAAACTGGTAATCTGGTTCCATAAATTTCATAACTGAGGTTTCCATTGAAGAGAACTGGATCAGGCGAATGCAAGTTGACTGTCCATCAGGATTCAGAACGGAAGAGAGGCAATTTAAAAAATTGGTAATCTGGTTCCATAAATTTCATAACTGAGGTTTCCATTGAAGAGAACTTTTTTTTAATTTGACTAAAAGTACTTTTACCGTAGACCTGACTTTATGAGAATCGACGCATTAAATTGTCTCGGGCCCAAAGGCTCCGAGAAAGGAAAGAGACGCTCATCGTCCAAGAACTGCGTAATAATAAAAACAGCAACTCCAAGAGCTGGTGTCAGGGGTGAGCAGAGAAGCGAAGCGCAAAAGACAGCTTCCCGCGAAAAACAACCCCTTTTAGACAAAACGGGGCAGCCAGCTTGGCTAAACCCCCGCCCGAAAAGGTGAAAAAACCAGTTACCAAAAACTCCTGCCTTAAGCAATGCAAAATTTTGCCAAACCCAGCCAGTTTGAATTTTTAACAGATCTCCCAACTCGCCAGAAATCCCGCCGAGATGAGGCCACGCCTAAACACCTGCACTTGTAAAACGTGGCAACCCTGACAGGAAATGGCTTTTCCAAGTCCAAAGAACGCACATTTTTTCGTTGAAAGTGAACTTTCGAAACTCTTCTTCCCCCCTTTTTTGTTAGAAGAAAAACTTAGGAAGTTTTAATAATTAAAAGGCCATAACTAAAAATTGATTAAAGCTAGGATTATGAAAGTAGTTTTAAATTAAGGAGCTAATTTTTGCAACTAATGATATTAAATACTAAGAATTTGACTTAATTTTTATCACGAAAAACTGAGTTTATTACATGAAAATTCACCTATATCCATTGTCTGAGTGTACAAGATTGAAGACGCAGTTCGCGTAAACTCGAATAGCCGAAATAGATTACACTAGAATTAATAAGTCAAATAAAAAAATATAACCAAACTTGTTGTGTAGCTCAAATTTTGACTAATTACAAATTAAAATTTTGATTTTTATGAATCACTTAATTATATTAAATTCGCTACACATCAAAATTGATCATAAAACAAATTTCAAATTTATCTTCCACATGCCCATATTCGTAAGAGGATTACGTCATTCAAAATTGGTTGGCTATGTGTACCGTTGTTTTATCACAATGCGAGAAATATACATACATTTATGCAGATTTTTCATTATTTAATATCTTCAAACATAATGCAGAAATCTAACATTTGGTGGCAACAGTTTGAAAAGTGAAACAGACATTTATAGTGATTCAACGCAAAATCGCAAAACGAAAACATTAGTCCTTCAGGGACAAAGCCCCTTTAGACTAAAAATAAAATAAACACTTGAAACTCGCTTGAAGATGCATGAAATCACCGAAACTCACAGGAACTCACTTGAGAACACACAAAAACTACGGTCAGCCATTTAGAAAAGGATATTTTGCTATATTTTGAAGTAGTACAAAGACGGTGGACAAACTATCACGGTTAGAGTAGAGAGAAGGGTACCCTCTGTATTATCGCGAAGTTGTTGTTTCATTTATAGTAACCTGAGTAGTTGAATGTCATGGAAACCCTATTATGGCGTAATCGGTTGCGTGATTGCGGTAAATTCGTAAGGGCTTGTGTGTGTGTTGATTAGGAAGTATATTGCTTGTTTTGTGGTTTAGACGGTAAAGTGGCTGAATGTGGTAGGATTAATTTGAAGTTTCTGTACGATTTTCGTAAGGGCTTGTGTGTGTGTTGATTAGGAAGTATATTGCTTGTCTTGTGGTTTAGACGGTAAAGTGGCTTAGTATTTAATAGTTTCTGTACGATTTGGAAAGAAAGGGGAAATGAGCATTACTTGACTGGTGTGTAAATGATGGTTTACTTAGTAGCCATTATTAAGTGTCCTGTTTATAGGAAGGAAATGCGTATGGTCGAATGTCAGACGATAAACGGTGCTACGGAACATATTTTTTACTCGTATTTTGTGAATTAATGTGGCGATGCCAGTATACAAATTCTAGTTCAGACAATTTTAGGAAGTTTTTGGGTGCTGTTAAGGAATTTTGTTTGACTGAAGACATGTTAATTCGTAAATAAGGTAAGTGGATATTTCCTTTGTGTAATGCAAAGATGAATTTCCTTTTTTTACATTATTTCATTGTTTTATTTAAAATGTAGCTTATTGAGACTATATATTTTTTTGTTGGCTGCTCCTTTGACGTTTTAAGTGAATATAGCTTGACGTGTACATGGATTAAGTCAAGGGGGTGTTCAATGCCAAGTTTGTGCATTTCTCTGATTAAGTGAAAAATACAGAGTTTGTACCCTTGTGTACATGGATACCGAGTTTGTGCAATTCTTTGTATTGTTATTTTTGCTTTGTGTACCGCTACACAAGCCAAAATAACAAGTCGAAGAATTGCATAAACTCGGTATCCATGTACTGCCAATTTTCGCCAAGGGGTATCCGTAAATATATTTTTACCACTAAAGCATTGCATACATCCGAAATTAGGGTAGCAAAAACGTAATAGCGATGTCTGCACTGACTGTATGCCACTTAATCCGAAGAAACTTCTGAAATTGGTGAATTCGGAAGGTAAATATTTTAAAACAAAAGTAAATTATCAATCCGCAATTGCAGCAATTACTACCTTAAATATTTCGATTTCAAATCCCACTGCAGTTGAGACTAGCTTTAAACTTCCTCATTTAAACATTCCGAATTTCAGTGGTAAATATGAGGGTACACAGACAGTTTGTTAGGCAATTATTTTCTTGAGAGATGTTAACTCTGCAGGAACTTCATGGCTTGAACATGAGCAAAGTCCGCTATTCAATCTCAGAATACAGTCCAAAACTAAGAACACGTTTTGCAGAAATTTGATGCGAAATCACCTTGATCCAGAAGGTAAACAAACCGTCAAGACTAAGCTTAGCTCTCCTTGAATTTAAATGTAAATCCATCAAAATGCTAAGTAAATACGAACTGAATATAAAAAATGTTTCCGGAACTCAAGCACTTTCGAAGCATAAACATTTAACACACTTTACACTGCATATTTTCCAAAAATTTAGCGATGTTTCCCGAGCGCAAGAAAACGCGGACATCAATGGCGCCGCACATGCGGTTTTCTGTAGTGGCAATGACTGGAAACTGATGACATAGGAGCTCTAGACAAAGAATCAGCAACAGACAGATGTTTCTTAGGAACATGCGTTTGGTTTAAAACTAAAAGCTTTGCAGTCTAGGTAACAGTCTCTGGAGTCTTGGTGAGACAGCATCAAACTCAACATGTTTTCAACTCAACTGTTTACATTGGTATATTGTGGCCAAAACATAATAATGGAAATGCTCACAAGCATGAACTACAGCAAGAAATTCTTTTTCTATCTGGGAATATCTGAAATTTGCATCAGTTAATGTTGTCGAAGTATAAGCTTCTGGTTTACTATCCGGCAGGAGAACACCTAATTCAAATGAACTAGCAGCAACAGAAAATACTAGTGGGTTGTCTTTATCAAAGAACTGCACTATAGAAGTTTAACTGAAATAGGTGTTAGACTAGCAGTAGTATTCGATCTCATTGAGGATCCCTTTGCCAGCTGGTAAATTTCTCAATTTAAAGTTTCTTGAGAAAATTTAGGCACAAACCTCATTAAGTATATTGCCATGCCCAGGAATCTGCTCTGTTCTTTATTAGTAGGTGCAGAAAAATTTCCAATTTCTTGCACCTTAGCTGGGTCTGGTGAGAGTGACCTAAATATCTTAATTCTGGTACTGGAGTCTGTTTGTCGAATTTCAGCCCATTTCAGCTGTCAAATTCAAACACCAGTTTTAACTTTTTACTACGGTTATCAAGTATTTCGCTATGTATAAGGATATCGTTAGAATATGGATAAGTATCGGGCGAAGTTTCGAAATGACTGTCCATTGAAATTTAAAACAATTAGAGTGCACAGCTAAGGCCAGTTAGCATGGCAGAAAAACAATACCTCCAGTATACCAATGCACACAAATCAGCACTTTCATCATCTAAGCCGAATATGATAGAAAGCATTTTTTGGATCAATAAAAGAGAAAAATTTAGACTTTTTAAGTTTTGATAGAAAACTGAAAAGGAATCTGATAACGCTGCCTCCTAATAAATTTATGAAGGTGACGAAAATCCAGATAAATTCTGATAGTATTGTCCATTTGAGGAAAATAACAAATGGACTCACCCATAGAAAAGACCCTGTAATCCTTTCTTTGATTCCATTTTATTCCTTGAACTCTGCTATCTAACATTTCACATCATAGCTGTAGCAAATGGGGTATTAAATGCTGAATAAATTTAAAAAAAAAAAAAAAAAAAACTTCATTCAATAACATTTTAAGGAAGTCTAAAAACATGCGAATATACAGCAGCGGTAATGTGCATGCAGGAATAAATACACGAAGAAGTAGAAATCGTAGTACCACGATTATAATAGAACTTGTAATGATTAATATTAAAACTGCATACATAATAGTTGACATATTTATCAGATGAAATGAAATTCCATAGTCAGCAGAAAAACTATTTTTGGTATTAGCTAAAGAGCTTAGATAATTTTTTTCTCAAAATTACTTGTGTATTTCAAAACAGGTATTGAAATTAATGTACATCGAAAATTTAAAAGTAAGCAGCTATTTTGAGGGAAAAAATAAATAAAGTGAAAGAAAACACATAAAAAATAAACTAAAGATTAGAAGGCTGTTGAGGGAATAAATAGGTATTTTAAGAAAAGGAAAGAAAGGTTTTAAATAGTTTTAATTTTGTTCCTTATTTAACTCTTATTATGAGAGCTATATAAAGTTAATTATCTAATGAAGTTTTGAAAGTAAGAAATGGTGAGCAGAATAGTCAATAATGCCTAGAGGTGTCAATAATCCTTAAATTAAGCTAACTTATTAATTTTCATACTAATGAAAAATTTGACATGGGGCAATAATACAAAAACATTTCCTGAAAATTAGAGTTATGGGAGCCCTACTGAACTAGAAGGCGTCCTAACCTCCGGTGCCTTGATATTGCAGCCTTTCCCCACGGTCACACGAAGATATTCAGAACTTATTTTCACAATAAGCCTGAGCTCCAGTTTGTCATCACTAACGACATAAAAGTGCTCATCTGATGGGGATCTGAACAAAAATATACAGCGTTTTGTATTCGACTTTGCTTTTAGTTGAACAGGCATTTTTGCTGTACAACAATTGTGTAACTTTTTTGTGTGCATCTCCAGTGGTCTCCTGTCTGCATAATATACAAATATTTTTTACAGAGAGCATTTCATTTTTAAGCATGCAAATGTAGTTCAACGAGACAGCTAAAGTCCCCCCCCCTACGGCTTCAGACCTCTCATACTTTGCATCTTTGCTTACTCGTATTTATCCCCATGATTAATAGCTGCTTTGGTTGCGTGACGCGGGTGACAGGGCTACTACTAATTTTTACATGTTAATACTGTAAAATTGCATTTCATCTTTCCATTGTCATGCATCTGTAAAATAAATATGATTGTGCTGCTTTCCTTCTAAGTATTACAAGATTAATGCCCAGCAGTATGTGTGGTATTTCATATATCATAACTAATCAACATATGATATCACATGACTATCAAATTAGGTTTTACGATTTTTTTATTCGCTTTTGGCTGTTATTAAGCAGCAAAGACTGGATATTGCAGTAATACAATGCTTTATGCTGTGCATCTAACTTCAGAAATTGTACTTTCGGAGATAAAAAAATTATGTCATAGGCTGAACGACATTAAACCCGAACTTTCAATCGATTGAAAATAGGAACAATTTAAAATTTCAATCATAACAAGGATATTCTTATATAAAAGAAGTTTGAAATAGAGCCATATCCTTTACCGGAATGAAATAGGTATTAAATATCTGAAGAAATTTAAGTAAGGACATCCGAAATGGAAGCATTCGATATGCCAAAAATGAGAAAGTGCTTATAAATTCTTTATAATCAATAATGGCGAAAATATATATATTTTATGGTTACTATTTTAATGAATAATGACCTAGTTATTTGATTAAAATTAAGTTGAAAATGTTATAAGGACTTAATTAAAAATTAATAGTACGATATAGATGAAAACTTTAAAATGATTTAATTAAGCTGTTATTTAAAATAATTTAATTAAGCTTATGCAGCTGTTAGTTTATCATCGTTTTATTCTACTTAGTTGGTATTTAAAACCATAAGGTATATAATTTTTTTCAGGTCATGTGTTTCCCAAAGGCATTTTTACTTTAATTATTATTTTTTTTTTCCATTGAACCCTTTTCTGTAATTTTCAAATAGTGTGGATAATGCGGTTAGAGCTTTAGAGAAAGTAACTTTAATTATGCTCATCTTTAATATCTTTTACAATATCTCATATTTGCATTTCCTTTAAAGACAGCCCTGTCTTTAGGTGCATCGTCTCAATTCTAAACTACTGACAGTCTTATAATTACATATCTTTATAATCTTTATATCATACAATACATATATTTCTTTATAATCCCTAAATTTATGTCGAACTTCGTGCAGTTCAAGTTATTGTAGTATGAGGGGACGAATGATCTTATTCATGTAAAAATAACGATAACCATATTTTCTAATACAAATTTAATTTAATTCTTTATTGTTCTTGAGTTAGTTGATGTGGTTGTTCGTAACATTTAAAAGCTACATATGATCTTATCATCTAAACCCTTTCCTTACAAAATTCTGCATCTTTTTTGGCAATCTTTTATTACTGGCAGAGCTTGATTATTTACAGTTTTACACTCTTTATGTATTTTAAAAGTATGATGATACAGAAATGATAAAACTGGAAAACTTATGAAAAATGTCTTCTATACATTTGATTGTGGATTTTTGATTTCCATGAGGTACAGCAAATAGCGCCATCTGTTAGTGATAAGGAAAAACATTTAGTTAGCTTTTGATTTCTCGCAAATAAAATTCAGCAAATTATTAAAAGACAAAACCATTTAAAATATTATCAATCGATGAAAATTTTTCTTTAAAACTTCTCAGTTTGAATACGACTGCATTATAAGAATAG